TTGATTGATTGATTGATTGTGCTGTTTTGTGGTCTCATGATTCTGCGTCTCTGCAGACGCTCCGGTGATTGTGTCCCGCTCATCCTGTGACTGGGACGGGACGCTGCTGTCCTGCTCTTGTGTCGTGGACTCGAACCCTCGTGCCGCCATCACCTGGAGTGTGAACGGGACTCACCTGTCTGCCAGGTTTAACACCTCGTCTTCTTATGACAACCACATCGTGACGGCGACACTCAGCGGGATCTCAGACGCGCCACTGCCGGTCGAGTGTCACGCTGTCAGCGCTCTGGGAAACCACTCGCTCCTGCTGTATGAGCCTCACGAGGGTACGATACGCTGCCAGTTATTCAAACCCATCTGCCCGTACTTTTATCATTTATAATATTTATAACATTCATTTATAATATTTACATAAATGTTTAAATATTTAAAGAAAAGGTTTGCATATTCCAATTTGATAATTTTAATTATTTACAATTAAATATTATTGTTATTATTATTATTATTATTATTATAAATATAATTGATAATATTTACATAAATGTTTAAATATTTAAAGAAAAAGTTTGCATATACCAGTTTGATTATTTTAATTATTTGCAATTATTTTATATAATTAATTAATTAACTATTATTATTATTATTATTATGAATATAATTTATCATATTTACATAAATGTTTAAATATTTAAAGAAAAATTTTGCATATATCACTTTAATTATTGTAATTATTTGCAATTATTTTATATAATTAATTAACTATTATTATTATTATTATTATTAAATAGCTTATGGTGTAAATAATCATAATTAAAAACAATTTTGTTATTTGTGTGTATGACAAAATAAAACAAATTGTAACATTTTATTCTTATTTTTTAAATATATATTTACATAAATGTTCAAATATTTAATTACTAGTTGCAAAAAAGTTTGCATATCCCAATTTCTTTATTTTAATTATTTATAATGTTTTATTATCTAAATATTTTAATTAAATATTATTAATATAATTGATAAGGTCTACATAATTGTTAAAGTTTTGAATTACTATTTTTCAAAAAGGTTTGCATATTCCAATTTAATCTTTAATTATTTATAATTATTTTATGTAATTATTTTAATTACATTTTATTATAAATATAAGTTGCAATATTTACGTAAATATTTAAATATTTAATTACTCCATTTAAAAATGTTTTTGCATGTTCCGTCTGGTGTTATGATACTGTAAGATGTGTTATAATGCTGAAGGTGTTGTGTTTTTCTGCAGGTGGTCTGATATGGACCGTAATCCCGACAACAGGTGCTGTGCTTCTGCTTCTGCTGCTGTTTCTGCTGCTGTTTTTCTGCTGCTGCAGGACAAACCGAAGGTAAGATGCTCCGCACTCATGTGTTCATCTCGTCTGACTGTCAGTGTAATATCATCTGAGCTGGCTTCTCGTTGTGACGGAGACGTGTCATGGCCTACAGGCCTCCAGCTGTCCGTCCCGAGCTTCTGGGAGTCTGTCAGGAGCGCATGCCGCTCTACATTAACTGCAGTGAAGTCACAAACGTCTACAGCAACGGCAGCTACCAGCTCGTCTATCAGAACTGCACTCCGCTCTTCGTACGGAGCAAACAGGTGTATTAAAAGACTCATAGTCATATTTGAAGTCAAATTTGTTACATTTTTCAAACATTTTAAATGTTTTACTTTTTATTTTTTAATGTAGAATTATTATTTTTTGGGGGGTGGGGATTTGTTTGTTTTGTATTGTATTTTGGATTATCAAATTAATTAATTAATTTATTTATTTAATCATTCGTTTATTAATTAGTTCGTTCATTCATTCGTTCGTTTGTTCATTCGTTCGTTCGTTCAATCATTCATTCCTTCATTCATTCATTTGTTCGTTCGTTCGTTCGTTCATTCATTCATTTATTTGTTTGTTCGTTTGTTAATTCATTCATTCATTCATTCATTCATTCATTCATTTGTTTGTTCGTTTGTTCATTCATTCATTTGTTTGTTCGTTCGTTCATTCGTTCGTTCGTTCATTCATTCCTTCATTCATTCATTTTTTGTTCGTTCGTTCATTCATTCATTCATTCATTTGTTTGTTCGTTCGTTCATTCGTTCGTTCGTTCATTCATTCCTTCATTCATTCATTTTTTGTTCGTTCGTTCATTCATTCATTCATTCATTTGTTTGTTCGTTCGTTCATTCATTCATTCATTCCTTCCTTCATTCATTCCTTCGTTCGTTTGTTCGTTTGTTCATTCGTTCATTCATTCATTCCTTCATTCATTCATTTGTTTGTTCGTTCGTTCATTCGTTCGTTCGTTCATTCATTCCTTCATTCATTCATTTTTTGTTCGTTCGTTCATTCATTCATTCATTCATTTGTTTGTTCGTTCGTTCATTCGTTCGTTCGTTCATTCATTCCTTCATTCATTCATTTTTTGTTCGTTCGTTCATTCATTCATTCATTCATTTGTTTGTTCGTTCGTTCGTTCGTTCGTTCAATCATTCCTTCATTCATTCATTTGTTTGTTCGTTCGTTCGTTCGTTCATTCATTCATTCATTCATTCATTCATTCATTCATTCATTCATTCATTCATTCATTCATTCCTTCCTTCCTTCATTCCTTCATTCATTCATTTGTTCGTTCGTTCGTTCGTTCATTCATTCATTCATTTGTTTGTTTGTTTGTTCATTCATTCATTTGTTTGTTCGTTCGTTCATTCGTTCGTTCGTTCATTCATTCCTTCATTAATTCATTTGTTTGTTCCTTCGTTCATTCATTCATTCATTTGTTCGTTTGTTCATTCATTAATTCATTCATTCATTCATTCATTTGTTTGTTCGTTCGTTCGTTCATTCATTCCTTCATTCATTCATTCGTTTGTTCGTTCGTTCATTCATTCATTCATTCCTTCCTTCATTCATTCCTTCGTTCGTTTGTTCGTTTGTTCATTCGTTCATTCATTCATTCCTTCATTCATTAATTTGTTCGTTCGTTCGTGCGTTCGTTCATTCATTCATTCATTTGTTTGTTCGTTTGTTCATTCATTAATTTGTTTGTTCGTTCGTTCATTCGTTCGTTCGTTCATTTATTCCTTCATTCATTCATTTGTTTGTTCGTTCATTCATTCATTCATTCATTTGTTCGTTTGTTCATTCATTCATTCATTCATTCATTTGTTTGTTCGTTCGTTCGTTCGTTCGTTCGTTCATTCATTCCTTCATTCATTCGTTTGTTTGTTCGTTCGTTCATTCATTCATTCCTTCATTCATTAATTCCTTCCTTCCTTCCTTCATTCATTCATTCATTCATTCATTCATTTGTTTGTTCGTTCGTTCATTCATTCATTCATTCATTCCTTCCTTCCTTCATTCATTCCTTCGTTCGTTTGTTCGTTTGTTCATTCGTTCATTCATTCATTCCTTCATTCATTCATTTGTTTGTCCGTTTTTTCATTCATTCATTCCTTCATTCATTCATTCATTTGTTCGTTAGTTTGCTCATTCATTCATTCATTCATTTGTTCGTTCGTTCGTTCATTAATTAATTTCTTCATTCATTCATTTGTTCGTTCGTTCATTCATTCATTCATTCATTCATTCCTTCCTTCATTCATTCATTCCTTCGTTCGTTTGTTCGTTCGTTCATTCATTCATTCGTTCGTTCGTTCGTTCGTTCATTCATTAATTCATTCCTTCATTCATTCATTCATTCCTTCGTTCGTTCATTCATTCATTCGCTCCTTCGTTCGTTCTTCCTAAAGGTCCAAAATAAACATTTATTAAAACCCTGAATTATAAAAATAATGTTATGTGGAAGTCATGGGAAAAAAATAAATAAACTTCCTTTTCAATTAGATTTTTTGCAATTATTTAAATATTTAATCATTTTTTATTTTATATATTTTTTACATTTTAAATGTTACTTTTTTAATTTATTTATTTTATTTAGAATTTGATTCTAAATGTGTTATTTCATTTAAATGTGTTATTTAAATATTTTTATTGTTTTATTTGTATTTTTGAATTTGTATATATATATTTTTTTTTTTCTTTTGAATTTTGTATTTGGATTTTTGTTCGTTTGTTTTGAATTTTGAATTTAGATTTTTTTTTTTTGGAAAACTTATTCCTAAAATTCCAAAAATGAACATTTATTGAAACCCTGAATTATAAAAAGAATCATTTGTTAACATTATACACTGAAAAAAAGGGCAAGTTATTTATTTTTCATTGGCTCAAGTTAAAAAATATAGATGTGAATCATTACCCTACATTTTTTTAATTGGATGAATGAAACGTTTTTTTCAGTGTAATAAGTGGAAGTCATGGGGACAAATAAATAATAACCTCGGCATCTGTGTGAAATAATGCTGAGGACTAGTTTGATGTGATGCTGAAATGCAGCCGTCTGTGTTCCAGATGCACAAGAGACAGAGACGAGGAGCGAGACGCCAGCGAGCGCAGCGCCAGATCCCCGTCACTGCTGACTCCGACACGGCCGTCTATGTGGAGGTCCTCTGAGCTCAGACTGTGTGTGTTTACAAAGAAGCGTTCTGTGTGCTGTTATTCCTGCTTCAACTCGCCTCCAGAAATAAAGAAATAAAATAAACTCTGTGTTTGGCATCTCAAGATGCAGTGATGCGTGTGACTTTTTTCATATTTTATTTTATTCCATTTTACTAACATTTATTTCCAGTTATTGTTTGTTTGAGTTTTTATTCTATTATCATTGAAATGCTATTGTAGTTTTTATTATAATTTCGAATTATTTTTTATTTTAATATCTTCCATTTTTATTTTCATTTCAGTGAGATTTAGTAATTTTGTAGTGGGTTTTTTTTTGTTGCTTTTTTTTTTTTATGGTTTTTATGTCTGTATAGTTTTTTATTCATTTCGGTTTCAGTTTTAGCTATTTAGTACTCTAAGTTAAACTAAATTAAAATGAGAAATGTGTTCTTAAAAAAAGTTCATGGTTGTTATGCATATATATATATTTGTTTTGTTTTTCAGTTAATGTTTATCAGGGTTATTATAATTTACTAAAACTGAAACCGAAACTAAAACAATAAAAAATAAAAGAAACATTAACTGAAATAAAATATAAAATCTTTTTTTCAGCTTCTTGCCAAGGCAACATTTCTCATTTTAATTTAGTCTAAATAAAAAAATATATATATTAGTAATTTTTTTTATTTCAAATAATGATTTTTTTTGGTGGTTTTAGTTTTAATTTTATGTGTTAACTAACAAAATGCAATCTGAGATACAATATTGTTTGTTACGTATGCAAAAAAAATAATAATTATTGACAGTTTTTAGATGTATTTTAACAGGGCTCTCAGCTGAATAAAAAATGTAACAAGCTATGCTGAAATTATTGAACTAATCTCATAAATCCTAAATCTTTTTGCTAAGAAAAGATACCTGGAACATTACTAACAACTGACTTTATTGCATCAGATGAGTAAATAAATCACTGAACAGACAGAAGAAGCACATAAAGTCATTATATGTGTTTTATTTGCAGATCACTGAACATCAGACAGTCATTTTCATATATTAATAATAATAAATATAATAATAAATAAATAAAATATTTTTTTAAATACATAAAACACATAAATAATACATAAAACGAAATAAAATAAATAATGAAATAAAAAAAAAGTTGTATGCCTCTTTCTTGTAAGACTTTTGATGACTTCCATCGATTCTGTGTTTTTGCGATTGAAAGGACTTTTATTCTGCAGTCTAGCGTGTTCCGGCGGCGGGCGGAAGTGACGTCACGTGTTGTGGCTCGAGAGGGAGTTCGTATGCGTGTTGGTCTCCTCACAGACTACAATAACGCACATAAAGCGCTTTCTGAGCTCCGGACTTCGGTACAGTGTTCTTGATTTAATGAAGTCGAGTCTCTGAATGACTCCAGCGCGGTTTCTGCCGCTTTAATGAGCGCTGTAATGCGGCCCTATTGTTCGCTAACAGCAGCGCTCAGTGTGATGAAGTCTTTATTCTATTTATTTACTTTGATGTTGATCCGTTAATACTCAGATAGTTTGCATTTATGTCAAGTATTTGAGTAAAACAGTCAAACCTGTCATGATGCCGTGATGCGATATCTGATTTGTGACCGAATCGTTCTGTTGAGTCGATTCGCAGTTCGATCTAAACGACTCACTAGCGAATCAGTCTGAATCAGAATGTTTTTAGCTTGTTTTTTTGGTAAAACTCTTATCCAGCAATCATAAACAAGTGGAAATGCTGTGGGAAAGTAATTAAAATGCTTTTTTTAATAGGTCATAAGTGTTATGCAGGCTTTCATGTACATATTATGATAATTTTCACAGTTAATGAAATGATATGCCTTTGATGTGCAGTGTTTTCAGGTTTTATGAGACCAGAAGCAAGAGTTTAATTTGAGGAACATGCCTGAAATCAAACTCAAGCATGTCGTGTCGTGCAGCAGTGAGGACAATGTAAGTTGTTTTTATATTTAATAACAATAATAAGATTTAGTGGCTTTCCAAAAGCTCAAGGCCACTTTACAAACTTGAGAAGACTTTGTGTCTGAGGGTGAGTTGTTTTGAATTGATTCACTGAAATGAATCAAACTGGCCAACTCTAGTTCACGAGTCACAAGAATCACAAAACTCGTGTAACAACAGGATCTTACTGACAAAATAACAGCTCTGTGTGTTTGTTAATGAATCAGTTCTTCTGCACAGACTCACAAAGCGGATAACCTCCTGAGCTCCGACACGTACAGAAAATGGAAAGCTGCGAGACCTGGAGAGAAGCACGTTTCAGTCATTCTTCAGGTATGACTGTTTTATTTCTGGCTATTCATATTTTTATTTTTGTATTTTTTAATAAAAAAAAAAAAAAAAAAGCTAAATTTGTCAAAACTTTGAATGAATCTGAATTTAGCAATGGATGTTTGCCTTTATATATTTATTTTTAATACATAATTTTTTTTATATTAAAATAATTTAAACATTTTTAATAATAAACAAATAAGTGATAAATTTATTTATTAATACACATAATTTTTATATTTTTTAAAAACAATTTTAAAATATTCTTAATAAAATAAAAAATAATGTTTTATTTATATATTTATTTTTTAATACATATAATTTTACATTTTACTTACTTGAATCATTATACTTTAAATGTTAACCTTTTTGTCTGTCTTGTTCCTCCAGCTGGAAAAGGAAGAGCAAATTCACAGCATAGACATTGGAAATGAAGGCTCTGCTTTCATTGAGGTCCTTGTTGGACACTCCACGTCAGTCAAAGACCAAGACTTTGAGGTGCGTCTTAAGTCAAGCGTCACACGCTTCAGCAGCATCAAACCGTTTAAAATGGCTTTTGCTGTGTCTCAGAGTGCATTCATTTATTTATAATCCAGATTAGTTCCTGTTTTGTTTCAAGTCATATTTATTTTCTCAAAACACGTTGTTTCAAAGCAGCTGTACAGAAAATGCATTTATCAGAGTAGAGCTGGATGATATTACAGTTTATATTTTGCAACGATACAAACAATCAAGCAGCTGAGATTTACTATAAAGTATATATATCGATTTATGTGAGTGAACTGTATGTATGTGGAAAAAGTTACTTATCTATACAACTTTATATAAAGAGCTGGACAGTTATGAAGTTCTACCGAGTACAATGTGTAATTCATATTTATTAATTTATTTGTGACACCCATTTAATTAATTTTTATTTCAGTTTTAGTTATCTTAGTTCATCATGTTAAAACAAACATTTGGCAACCAGCTAAAATAAAATGTATTAAAAAAAATATTTCGGTTAATGATAATTTTATTTCAAGTGACAAAAATATAATAATAAATATAAAATCCCTTCAGCTTGTACATATATTTGTGTAAATTATATATATATTTTTTTGTATCTCTGTACATTGCTGTCAACTGTATTTTTGTACACTTTTTTTTTTTTTTTTTTTTTTTTTTTTTTTTGTTTTTTTCTGTCCTTATTGGCAATATACTTTATACTGAATATTTCAACGAAGGTTGAGTATTTTCCTGCCATACTTGCCACACAACAGGCATTGTGGATCCTGTCCTTATTAAAGCTGAGGAGGGATGCCAGATCTTTTAGGTGGCCAAAAGAACATTTTGAGTGACCTGTCATTCTTCCTCAAGCAACCCATTTCTCTCTGTAATTTGTTTTTGGAGTTTGTTTGATGTCAACTTCTTCAGCAGTCTCCTTCTGCTTGAATAGAGGGGAAATCAGATATTCTGTCTGCATCATGTCTTGATGAATGAAGCGTATGTCTCGATGCTTACTTCTAAAAAAACATTAGTCGACTGGGGGTCTCTGCCAAATGGATTTATATCAGATTTGTTCTTGAAGAATTGGCTTCATGTGTTCTCTGTGGACCCTTTGAACTAAAATCTCACTAGACTCCAGCTCCTTCCAGTGGCCGACTTGGCCGAAGCTAGAAGAACCAGACTCAATACACGCGGAGATAAATTAGCTCTCACTTTGTTCAGAGCCAATGGATTTTGGCTTCACATCATTGATGGGTTTTTTTGTTGTTGTTGTTTATAACCCTCAGCTTCAGTTTTCTTTACATTTACAATCAAGCCTTTACCTACCAGTGTATGTTCTTGTTTTAGTAGCATCAGTTACTTCACTTTTTATCTCTGTTATATGCTAATAAACATGTTCTTATGTTTAACATATGCGCATGTGTTTCGCTTGGCAAATATCTCAAGGAAGACCAATGAAATCACCAGAACCATCCCTCTTTATTCAAGAGGGCTGTTTGGCCTTATGTTATGAATTGTTAATGGTGGAAGTTTTCTGGTCACATCGTCCTTCATGTCACCCACAGAGAGCCGTAACGGCACGAACACAAGCCGAGTGCGCTTCTTCGGGCCGAGCCAGCTGGTGAAGGCCACGGCGCAGGAGAAGTGGGACCGTGTGAAGATCGTGTGCAGTCAGCCGTACAGCAAGGTGAACATGTCATGATAGTCCCTCCAGATGCATAGCACCACTCCTGCGTGTGAGCGAGTCTTTATTGTGTGTTTGTGTGCAGTGCACAGTGTTTGGAGTCTCCTTCATAAAGCTGCAGTCTCCTCCAGACGCTGACGATGCTCCCGTCTCGACTCCTCCGGTGAGTGTTGCTCCTCCAGAGTCCCGCTGTTTGACGTGTGAGCTCTTACACATCTGTTCGCTCTCTCCTGACAGAAACTCACTAAACTGGGTCAGTTCAGAGTCAAAGACGAATCCCCTTCCTCTGGCTCTAGTGTCCAGCCGGGAAGCCTGTTCTTCAGCAGAGACGGCGGCACTGCTAAAACCAGCACAGGACTCAAGGGTAATGCACTTCACAGGATTGATGGACACTGTTTGTAATGAAACCATGCATGATGACGTAACGGTGAACCGCAAGGCGCCACCTGCTGGCAGAGAGTGAATCTGCGTCTCGTTCAGCTCGTCTGCTCTTGCTGTTTCATGCAGATATTTATGTATAGTTTCACAAAACTGAAGTCAAACCATTCTGTTGTTGCTTCAAATTTCGAAATTATACAATCTAATCTAGATTAAAATCTGCTCATGTTGCATGTATGCAGCATCTTTGTTCAGATCATGATTAAAATGCAGTGTTTGCCTCTCATTTTAAACGGAAAGAGCACAGACAAAGCCTTTTGTTTATATGAAGAAATTTATTTTATTTGTGTTATTTATTTAATTCGGGGCTTGTTTTAAAATTTCAATTCAGTTTTGTTATTTACATTTACATTATATTTAAATTGAGTCATTTAGCAAATGCTTTTATCCAAAGTGACTAACAAATGAGGACAATAGAAGCAAAAGGAGCAGTAATATGCAAGTGCTATATTAGTATATTATTATAGTGTTATATTTCAATTTCACAAAGAAACTTGCAGCATTTTGTCCAAGCAATAATAAAAGGACACATTTAATTTATAATTTGTCTTAAATCTCATTTTGTAAAAAAAAAATCGGGAATCGAGTCGTGAGTTGAGTGAATAGTTACGTCCCTATTTACCACTGATCATAATAACACTGCATCATATCTGCTGAATGAAATCCAACACTCGTTTCTTACTGATTCCAGAAATAGCTTCTGTTTTGCAGTTTCACGTCATACTTTCTCACTAAATATGATGCATTCAGTAGCGTTTTTGCCTTTGAGAATCATTTGTGTGGTGAATTAGTCTTGCATTCTCCCTTAATCAGTGAAAAAACACTACAAACACATGATTCCTGTCTAAATCTGAGTCAGATTACAACTATCTGATCAATTCTCGGCCCGTTTTCACGTGTTTGACTTTATTTTATTTCTAATCCTGATTTCATTGTTAGAATTATGGAAAATGCAAACATGAGCAGATGTTTCCTGGCTTTACTGCATCCAAACAGACAGAAAATAACAGATTTTGTGAAAAATGCTTATTTTGTGAAGTTCTTTGGCATTAAATGGAGTATTTGAACATATTTTCCCACTCCTTTAAGTTAAATAATTAATTTTGGATACTTCTTTTTGCCATTACAAGTAAACTTTTGACATTTGGCTGCTTTGATAAGTGCATTAAAGCTGATACATATGTATAATGTATAAAATTTATACAGTTTTTTTTATTTTTGAACTCAGCATCATCAAATTAGGTCATATTAGGCCATTTTTGCAAATCAGCACAATTATTTCCAAGATGCAGGGCTGCTTTTGCTGGTATATTTTGTGCACATGATCTAAAATAATCTTTATAAAACGGATAGTTCCGGTCCTTGATTCTGATTGGCTGAGCCACATTCAAAGCTGTTATAAATTACAAAGTAACATACACCTTTGTTTACGTTTGTGTGTTGCTCAGCAACCACTTTGTAGCAACCACAACTGTTTCTGAGGAGCTACATTGTTTGGTGGAAGAATACTGTTTTTATTAATATCATTACACTTTATTTGCTCTGTTTTATTTTGTGAAACCTAACTACGTATATGGAATAACCGTTTTATAAAAGCAATAACCCCTGTGAAGCCGTGATCTACAGTGAATTTATAACAGCTAAGGCGGTTTTAGGCACTCATTGCTTTAAGTCACCACTTCAAATGTATTTTGTTACTGTTCCTTATAAAGTAAATTATCAAAGTTTTGTTTTTCTGCCAAAGCCAGATTTGAGCCATGTTTGGAGAGTGTTAATATTGTACACAGAGGTGAATGTAATCAATATAGAGTTACTTTATTTCTCTCTCTGCCTTGTTTCTATCAGTGTCTCCTCAGAACGTCAGATTGAGTTACGCTGCTGCTGCTCTGAAATCTGAAGGTTCGTCCACACCGTCGTCTTCCAGCAGCTCACAACAGGTGCTTATTTTTCAAGAAATTAAAGAAATTAGTACTGTTATTCATCAAGGACGCATTCAATTGATCAAAAGTGCCAGTAAAGACATTTATAATGTTGCAAAAGATTTCTATTTCAAATAAATGCTGTTCTTTTGAGCTTTCTATTCATCTGTGAATCCTGAAAATAAAATGCATCACAGTTTCCACAAAAATATTGTGCAGCACGACTGTTTTCAACATTGCTAATAATCAGAAATGTTTCTTGAGCAGCATATCAGCATATTATTATGATTTCTGAAGATCATGTGACACTGAAGACTGCAGTAATGATGCTGAAAATACAGCTGCGCATCACAGAAATACATTACAGTTTAACAGATATTCACATAGAAAACAGCTGTTTTAGATTCTAATAATATTTTACATTTTTTACTGTATTTTTGATCAAATAAATTCATCCGACCCCTAACTCTCTGTTTTTGACCCTGTGAACACCCGAGTGTTTCTTTATCAGGGAATCGAGCTCATGAACTGTCCCGATATAACCGTATTCCTGTCCTCTAACTAAAGAGCAGCTCGTTTAGCTTCCTTATTAAATTAGCTCCAGCTCTTCGGTGGCCATAAATCATCTCTCCGACGCGAACCTGATGCTGGTGCTGAAGCGGCAAATATTTTGTAGCCACCTGTAATGGATTATTGACCTTTTATAGCGTTCCAGAATCATATCCTTATAATTAGAACTGAGAAACTGTGAATCTCCGCAGGATCCGAGATGAAGATGCTGCAGCTGCTGTAGGACAGAGGTTATCGAGTGATTGCTTTTATCACGCACTCTTTAGATAATATTAAGCGCTTGAATGTTGCGTCAAACCTGTAAGACTTTCTTCTGTGCACAAGAGGAGGATCTGGTGAGGATCGAACAGAAGGTCTGGTGACTGTGTGTCTGTGTGTTTCTCATAGGCTCCTGTGAAGAGGAAGTTTGAGTTCAGTAAAGAGTGTCTGGAAGCCGCCGGTCCGCCGCCCAAAAAGCCCAGTTCATCTGGTTCTTCTGAGGCTAACTCTGCCACACCGAAGTCTAAAGCAAGAACCGGAGCAACTGCGAGGCCTGTCAGCAGCGGTAAATGAAGAGATCAATTCATATTCGCCGAACGCATTAACTCAGTGGTTCTCAGAAACTAGGAGTGTCCAGGGATTAAAATAAGTATAATTGAAATCCATTTCTGGATTGAAGAAGTTTTAAGAGCTGAATGTGCTTCTGCTCTTTTAAGCCAAATAATCTGTGTGATTTTGTATTTTTTACTCTCAGTTTTACCTGATTAAACATTTCAGAGCTTGACAAAGCTCTATTCAGAAATAGCATAAGGTTTAATTAAAGGAATAGTTACAATACACCCCGGTATGAAAATGTGCTGATAATTTACTCACCCTCAGGCCATTCGAGATCAGGATGAGTTTGTTTCTTCTTCAGATTTGGAGAAATGTAGCATTGCATCACTTGCTCTGCAGTGAATGGGTGCCGTCAGAATGAGAGTCCAAACAGCTGATAAAAACATCACAATAATCCACAAGTAATCCACAGCACTCCAGTCCATCAGTTAACATCTGGAGAAGACAAAAGCTGAGACAAATCCAGCATTAAAGGGACAGTTCACCCAAAAATGAAAATGACCCCATGATTTACTCGCCCTCAAGCCATCCTAGGTGTATATGACCTATGTGTTATTTTTCAATAGTCGAAAAGAAGTCCAATAAAGCGCATCCATCCATCATAAAAAGTGCCTCACGCGGCTCCGGGGGGTTAATAAAGGCGTCCTGAAGTGAATCGATGCATTTTTATAAGACAAATATCCATATTTAAAACTCTATAAACCGTAACCTCTAGCTTCTGCTAACTGTTGTAGGAAGTATTATTATGGATTATGGACTCGTATTTGAGTTAAAAACGTCTTAATGCTGGATTTGTCTCAGCTTTTGTCTTCTCCAGATGTTAAC